CCCTGGGTAGAGTGCCATGGCGTCACAGCTCACAGCAACCTCAAACTCCTGGGCTTAAGCAATTCTCTTGCCTCAGCCTCCCTAGTAGCTGGGACTACAGGTACCTGCCACAACGCCTCGCTATTTTTTTGTTTTTTAGCAGGCCTTGGCTTGGTTTGAACCCACCAGCCTTGGTGCATGTGGCCGGCGCCCTACCCACTGAGCTACAGGTGCCACCCCTTCATTTAACTTTCTTCCAAGCACTTTAGAAGAGCTGCTACCCCAAAGTGAGAAATTTCCATAAATCTGTTTAGGTCCACATTTACATATACTTTTTTGTGTGTGTGAGGCCAGGGGAATGGAATCCAGAATGTATTATTATATTCTCAGCACAACTACTGCAGTTCAGATACAACTTTTCTGACACTAACAGTTCAATAACAACCTCAAATAAACATCTTTCCCCAAATTAAGACAAGATTTTCAAGTTAACAAACTATTTAATAACATGGCTACATTTTGTTGGCGTGATCTAAAAAAAAAAAAAAAAAAAAGGCAAAAAGAATGAAAAGAAAAAGAAAAACAGAAACATGGGAAAACACTTTCCATATGGTCTTGTTTCCCAGAGGTTGAGGATTCAGGTCAGAGGCCACCCTGTGAGACCATGCACTCCATATAACCTCCATTCTCCAGCCAGAGCCAAGACAATTAAGACGTCTCCCAGAGTGGGCACACTTCCAGCAAGTGAATACAGTGATAGGAGCAAATCAGGGTAGTGGAAGGTTGAGAAAAGAGAAAAGCCAACTGGGCAAAATTATACAATTTTTTTTTCTCTTTTTATTTTATTTTACTTTTAGAGACAGTCTCACTTTGTCACCCTTGGTAGAGTGCCGTGGCATCACAGCTCATAGCAACCTCCAGCTCTTGGGCTTAGGCGATTCTCTTGCCTCAGCCTCCCGAGCAGCTGGGACCACAGGTGCCCTCCACAATGCCCGACTATTTTGGGTTGCAGTTTGGCCCGGCCGGGCCTGAACCCTCCACCCTTGGTATATGGGGCTGGCACCCCACTCACTGAGCCACAGTTACCGCCCAATTTTTTTCTCTTTTATTTATTTATTTATTTATTTATTTTTTGTGGTTTTAGGCTGGGGCTGGGCCTGAACCCACCACCTTTTTGGTATGTGGGGCCGGCACCCTACTCTCTGAGCCACAGGTGCCACCCAATTTTTTTCTCTTTTGAAATGAATGTTCTTTTGGCTCATGTTAAGAGCTAGAAATGGGGGTGGTGGTGCCTGTGGCTCAGTCAGTAGGGTGTCAGCCCCATATACCAAGGGTGGTGAGTTCAAACCCAGCCCTCGAAAACTGCAACAACAAAAAATAAAGAATAGTAAAAATAAAAAATAAATTAAAAAAAAAAAAAAGAGCTAGAAATGGGGTGGCGCCTGTGGCTCAAAGGAGTAGGGCATTGACCCCATATGCCGGAGGTGGCGGGTTCATAACCAGCCTTGGCCAAAAACTGCAAAAAAAAAAAAAAAAAAAAAGAGCTAGAAATGAGCAGGAATGTTCCTTAACCTTTGAAGGGCATTCTTGAAAGCATGTCATCCCACTGCTAATAAAAATGCTGTATAGGCTGGGCACTCTGGGAGGCAGAGGCAGGTGGATAACTTGAGCTCACAGGTTTGAGACGAGCCTGAGCAAGAGGATCACTTGAGCCCAAAAGTTGGAGGTTGCTGTGAGCTATGACACCATAGCACTCTACTCAGGGCAACAGCTTGAGACTCTGTCTCCAAATATATGTGTGTGTGTGTGTGTGTGTGTGCGCGCGTGCACGGTGCCTGTGGCTCAAAGGAGTAGGGCACCAGCCCCATATGCCAGAGATGGCGGGTTCAA